CACACACACACCGAAAGTTTATTTCCACACACACCTTCACACACTCGGTTTGATGATAATTTAGGGGTTACCTTGGCCAACCCGTCGTCCCGTGGTTGGCGGGTTCCAGTCTACCTGAACGGAATGCCGATATCTCGGTGTGATTTGTGTCGGTTCCGGTAACGGAATGTGGACTTTCTTCTTTTCGTCAAAGTAGAAGAAATAGTAAGGTTTCTTTTGTGCATTAGCCTGTGGAGATTGTTTATGATACGAATATCCTTTTGTAAAGGATTTCTTTTCGTTAGCACCAAATATGTTGTGTGTTTCATTATAGGTGAGATGCCTATGTCTAGTAAAACACACGGGAGCTATATGTCCTACCCTATTGCAATAATGGAATACTACGTTTGGGTTGAACATATGCCTAGGTTGATAATAGCTAGGGGGTCTAACCATATTCATCCTATTTTGAGAAAAGGATGTTTTATGCATGTTTTCAAAAGAATCATTTCTAGGTGTCCTTATGTTATTTCTCCTATTTTGAGAAAAATTATTATTATGTACAAAATCATTTTTCTTAGGTTGTCTACCATGAACATTTTCATTCCTAGGTTTTAGTCTAGGTTGTCTAGTGTCCTTAGGTTGACTAGGTTTTCTATTATCCTGATTTTTAGGTTTCTTACGTTGAGCCTTAGATGGTTGTCTAGATGGTGGCTCAACGTTTTCTTTAACCTTAACTTCATTTTTATTGAAACCTATTCCTTCCTTAGAAAAATGCATAGTTTCAAGGAGAAAATTTAAATCTTTGTGCGGAGTATTAAATTTCTTGACCGTACTCTCAAGTTTTGTGACTTGTTCCCTTAAAGCTTTACAAGATTCACATTCGTTTGAGAAACTTTCTGGTTTGTCGGCGCTTCTTTTGCCATAAAATTTATTTTCTTGTTTTAACTTCTCATTATCTTTTTCCAGATTTTCAAAATCATTTTCAAGAGTGGAGAGGCGTTTCTTTAACGATTTGTTGATTTTAGAAGCGCTAACGAATTCATCATAAAGTTCATGAAGTGCTTCTTGCATTTCTTCAAAGGTGTAAGAGTCGGAAGAAATGGTACATACCTCTTGTACATCGTCGGTTTGGTCTCCGTGCGCCATGAGACAGAGGTTGGCAGTTTCATCCTCGTCATGGTCGGTTGACTCGTCGCCGGAGTCGCCACCCCAAGAGATATATGCCCTTTGCCTTTTGAATTGACGAGCATTCCTTCCGCTTCTCGGGCAGTTGTTCTTGATGTGCCCGGCTTCACGACATCCGTAGCACACAGGGCCATCCTCAACCTTTTCTTTCTTCCTTAGAAGTTTGCAAAACTTCTTCATGACAAGCTTGACTTCATCATCGTCGCTTGAATCATTCATCGTTGATTTTTTGACGGCTTTTAATGCTATCCCTTTCTTTTGGTCATTCAAAGACGGGTTAAGAATAGTAGATTCATAAGTTTTTATATTACCTCTTAGACCGTCGATGGTGACATTTGATGTGCCGATTGACTCATAGATGGCATCAGCCTTGGATCGCCATTCAGATGTCAAGCTCCGTAGGATCTTTCACACAAGATCCCTGTCGGTGTAAGTCTTCTTCAATGCATGAAGATCGTTGACTATCTTGGAGAATCGGTCGAACATGTCGTTGATATTTTCGTGCTCCTTCATTCTAAACATCTCATACTCTTGGGTGAGGAAGTCAATCTTGGCTTCACGTACTTGGTCCGTTCCTTCGTACGTCACCTCAAGTTTATCCCACATCTCCTTGGCGGTTGTGCAGCAGGAGATCTTTCGGTAGTCATCGGGGTTGACCGCACAATATATCATATTAATGGCCTTTGCATAATTCTCAATCTTCTTGATGTCCTCGGCATCAAATTCGTCCTCGGTCTTTGGGACCGTGGTTTCTCCTACTTTCTTCATTGGGATTTCCTCTCCGTTTTTGATGACCAACCATAATTGGAAGTTGGTGGAACGGATATAGATTCTCATCCGTTCCTTCCAATAGGAATAGTTGGTGCCATCAAAGAGTGGTGGCCTAGAAGTTGATTGACCTTCTCCAATTCATGCATAAAGATTTCTAGAAGAAGAACCCATGATC